GTCTCTCGGCGTCTAACATGGCTTTCTTCAATACAGTTGTTTCCAAACAGGGTCAGGAGAAATTCTTTTCATACGAATAAAACTTACGATACTACTTTTTCATAATTTCGATATAACAGTAATAGAAAAATTAGAAATATAGCGAGAATAAACTTTCGATGTGTTTAATGTATGAAATTCATTAAAAATATTTGCTTAGCTGGACTGCGGCACAGCACACGAGGGATCGCTAAAGGAAGTTGTGCCTTCGTGAAGGACGTTTGAAGGAAAACTGAACTATATTCACCTTACGCATGGAAATAACCACTAAACATTTCAAACATCCAACTCGTTTACTGGGATTTTAATCCTGCTTAACCCTTTCCGGCACGCTACCTTTTAAAGTCGGAGTTTTGATTTAAAAAAAAGTAGGCAGTCTAATTAGGCCTAGAGGAGTACACAAGTAAAATTTTGTGAAGATAGCACTTATCGTTTTAATTCAGTGGAAGTGCCCAAAGTGGCACACTGATTGAATAGAGTGCTGAAACGAGCATTGTTGTCAATGAACTGACCGATGAGATTCGGAGAAACAAAGAATATATACTCTCAGTTGTCCTATATTATCGGTGAGCTCGGTCTGAGCACATCTAGGGTTCGCCGTTTGATTTTAGGCAAGATTTCAAGGTAAAAATTTAAAACTAATATAGAATAAAAAGATTAGCATACAGCCAAAAAAATAACATAGAAATTTCTTTTTCAAACAATTCCTTTTATACTCTAAAAAAATCTCGAAGATTTCTTTGAAAAATGATGGTCTTAAAAAACAAAACATGGCTAAAATATATGGACTGGTTTGTGTTGAGCTGCCATCTACTAAAATAAAGAAGGTTCAGAGTAACTTATAGTAACCTATAAATCCTTTTTCATTCAATTTTTCTGTGCATACAGAAGGAAATTTTTAAGTGTGCCCAGACAGAACACACTGTACTGCAAAGGGTTAACTACCAGTAGTCAGCGAGTTTTTAAAGCGAGTTTTCATTGGGATCTTTGGGTTGTGGTACAACATTCGCCAAAGAACTTTTTACGGAAAAATTTTTGAACCAAGATTGCCTATTGGCCACTGTTAACTTAAATGTATTGGTCTTATCTTTTATAACTGCGCTTATTTTCGAAATAAGTATTATTAATAAAACGGTTTTAAAGTGTATCATTTTTCTACGTTCTTTCTGTATTGAAATAATTAAACTTTGAGCTATATTTCTTATGTTTAGAAACTTTTACCACAGTCGAGATGATAACATAAGGTAGATGTGGGTTTTCGGTGGGAGTATCAATTTGGTATAGTATGTAATTTTATAGAGAAAATTGTTTGGCTTGGGTTGTTATATGATGGAAATCCACACTAATGCCTGTACAATAAAATCACTGAGTAGACTTAGACCAACTCGGGTTCAAATCTCGACTGACGGGATGACTTTCCTCCACTGTAACGTGAAAATGAACAGCTTTCGCTTAAAATGTCCTTCACAAAGACATTCCTTTCCTTCAGGTAGATAGCGCTCGGTTGCTTTTCCAAAATCCATCGGAAAAGATACAACTATTATAATACTTTTTGCGATGAGAGAGAAGAAATTTAAGAAATTAAAGTCAAAATTAAATAATAACGATTTGAAGGTTTAAATAATCAGTACAGTATTCTGATAAAATCTGTGATACGACTACTGTAAGTCTGTGCAGAATATAATATACAAACAGTTTGCTGTACGCAAAATTCAAATTTCCACAAAGGCTAAGGAAACAAAAAAGCGATACCTGTAAAACGCAATAAAACGAAGTGGGGGAAAAAGAGAATTATGCGTATCATAATCTTTTTGAGAGATTTTAAATAATAATGATGAAATAACTTTATTATACATTTAAACTTATGTAAAATAGACTTACCAATGCTATACGCATCACAGAGATTATAATATACATTTTGACTTGAAAATGTCATAAAAATGCCTATAATTTAACCTTTTCAGTTTTCGTGTCATGTTATGTTGCCGGATGGCCATACAATTATTTGCCTTCTTGTATTTAGCATTCAAATTATTGGTAAAATTGCCAATTGTAACCAATTTATCTTGTCGATTTGATTTACTTTTCAAATTATAAAAACACATCATTTTGCAGAGCGACAAATTTAGTAATTTAAAAGCATTGTATGAAATTCTTACTAATATGGTAAAGACATGGGGCTCGGCTGACCTTCATTTTTCTTACTTAATGAGCTATTTGGAACCGTTAACCAATTATGACAAATTTTTCACTAGACAAGAGGCTAGCATAATTTGACGCCGTCGCGATAACAAAGAAAAATACGTTTAATATAATTCAGAAAAATCTGCTAAACCAAAATCGGTCAAAAATCTTTTTTTTTTTTTCGTCAAAAAAAATCTGTTTCCTCCTTCCGTGCAGCGGCTTAAGAAAACTCGTTAGATGCTCACGTAAACACCTCTAATTCACTAGTGGCTCAAACATTAATAAAATTAAAATTTAGCTAATCTTACGCAAAACTTGCCCATCTAGCCAATTAGAACAAAGGTAATAAACAACGACGAAAATTCGAAAAAATTCAGAACTCTCTACAAGATGACAGACCCTTTCTTTCCCACGCAACAGAGGAATGTTTTCAATCGTAATTCAGTTAAACTTGCGACATCTGTAGGTAATAAATACGTCTAGCAGTTCTCTTCTTCAGAAAGACCGAAACACTTTCTCGCCTTCACACCCTAAACATGTGGTCAACACCGAGAAAAGAGAAAAATTGCAGCTGGGAAGTCTGTCTCCTGATCCCCACAAGAAGCCGACTCGTGAGAAACGGAAATATACCCGCGCCCTTTTAACTATATCACATCTTCAGCCAAACTTAAAAGACCTTTGCCGTAATTGAAAAAAAAAGTTTAAACAATACTAAATACAAGTATTATACATTAATTCTTAAATACGAATATTACAAATTCATTGTTCAAAGTAAAATAATATAATTACTAAGAATACCTTATGCACAGTAAAATAATACGTAATAATTGTAGACAACAAAATAATACATAACAATTTTCCATAACAACTAGAAATGGGCGCTATGATCGCAATGCCTGTTCATTTGCCTTGAAACTTTGAACGTTTGCATGTTCGATCAAGATGTTTTTGCACACCAAATTTCGTCCCGATCGCAAAAGTCTTTCTTGGTGCTTCGATTTCTTTGCAAAAGAGTATAAGTTAGATTTCCCGTTACTTATTATTCGTTAAAGTTGACCATATCTTGGTTCTTTGATATGTGCTGTAACAGCGCCCCCAAAATAGATACTCTTATCGAGGGTTCCCACACACGAGAGCTTTGCAGGGCACAGGCAACCGGATCATGCTGCATCACAAAATCTGGTATAAAGATTTTGTCTAAATGCTCTAACTGTTGAACTTTATGCCAACCAGGCGTAAGAACCTGGCAGTGACAGTAAGGCGAACATGAACTTATGTTCAGCCAAATATTTCGATAAATCAGCTGCTCATTCACATATACTCAGTTTTATCTTTCCTGAGTAACCACGGCTAAACCGTTTTATGGGTGTGAAAGGAGCTAATGATTTCGGACTATGACACAAACGGCGGTTTCACCCTGTGAACGCCCCTTACAGTCCAGCCAACGGTAGTAGGATTCTTTTTCCCAGGAAAGTTCAATTTCCATTTTGGGGGAGGAAAGACTATATTTAAGATTTTTCTTCCTTGTAAACATTATTTCTTTATTGTTTACTGAAATACACTTCTAATCTCCCCTTTTACGCTTTTTCGTTACTTATGTGATATGCAGTATTTCAAAAATGAGCAACCGCAGAAAGGTCGTAGCGAAACATGAAATAAGTATGTGGGTAAAAACCGACTACCTGTTTTTTGCAAACAGATTCAGTTTACTTTGCCCATGCGAAGTAGCATCCCAGGGATTAGCTTAAGTGGGTGGACTTTCATGGAAAAAAGAACAACTAAACCTACCGAAGAAACAGGTTTGAATCCCGGAGAAGGCATGTATGTTGTAAATGTATAGTGTCTTTGCGATATGAGGATACTTCAAATATATGACGAAAGCCCTCTCGTATGATTTGGTGGTAGGAGAAAAGGAATGGAAGACACTCGGACCACCTCCCCGGGGTGCTCTTTTTAAAAACTGGTGTGAAATTGGGCAAAGTCATACTGTCAGCTTATAGAGTCATTAGGATTTTGAAGCAGGTGAAATGTGCAATGCCCTCGCCAGGATTCGAATCCTGGGCTTCTCGAATACGCATCTAGTATGCTTCCAATTACACAACGAAGGCATGTGAAAAAGGAGGGAGAAAATACCTTATATACTTCCTCTTTTAATGGGCGACTGGGGATTAGGGGAGCCATTCGCAAATCCCAGTGGAGACGAATTATTGTCAACCACGTTTTTAGTTCGGGTGCTACTATAGAGTCATTGAGATTTTGTAGCAGAAGACGTGAAAAATGTGCAGTGCCCTCCCCGGAACTCGAGCCCTGGACTTCTCGAATACGCGTCCAGTATGCTTTCAATTACACACGAAGGCATGTGAACAGAAGGGAGAACATACATTATAACCTATATGGTGCCTAAGGCTGTTGCCAACAACAAAAGCAGTCTTGTGGTTTTTGTCACGATGAAAATTCGTGGGCTTGTTCTGATTAGGTCAGACAAGTGAGATTAGTCACAACAACAAATAACGGCACGTTAGAATTTTGAAAGTTGAAGAAATATGGGAGATAAGAAAGATACATTGATTATACAGACCTACAGAAACTGAATTCATTTATAAACGTTGCTATTCTAATGCTATTCTAATTTTAAAAATAGTGTTATCTGCAAAGTCTGTAGATCTGAGACGTTTGTGGATAAATGTATCTACAAATTTTGTAATACATATAAATAATGTCAATAACATTAAAATCATTTTTGTTGCTAATACTGATTTTGTCTCTTTTATTTTTAGGTAAATATGTTCCTTCACTTGCTTACAAAATCCACACTATGGGTACACCTGCGAATTTTAAATTCAAAGGTATGTCTGTTGGAAACGGGATGTGCGACCCAGAAACAATGATGGACTACGGAGATTATTTGTACAATATCGGACTTGTGGATGAAATACAAGCCAAACAAATGAAGAATCTCTCAAATTCCATCGTCAACCACATAAGAAAAAAGGATTATTACGAAGCTCTAGTGGAAATGGATAAGCTCATCATCAATTTCCAGTTGCTTCCGTATACCAGCTTATTTAAAAACTTCACGGGATTCGATTTCTATTACAACTTCTTCCACAGTGAGGCTCCAGAAGACTTTAACTACTTTTACACGTACGTTGAACTTCCAGAATTTAAAAAGGCTCTTCACGTTGGAAACCTGAAATTCCAGAATGGAAGTATGGCGCAAAAATATCTTCTTCTGGATATTATGCAATCTGTCAAGTCTAAGGTCGCTGTCATCATGGATAACTATCGAGTGCTTTTCTATAATGGACAACTGGATGTCATCATACCGTATCCATTAACAGTCAATTTCTTGAAGACGGTGAAGTGGAAGCATTCAGTTGAGTACAGAGAAGCAAAACGTACGTTATGGAAACTGAACGGAAAAATTGCAGGTTATGTACATAGTGTAGAAAATTTCCATGAAATTTTAGTGAGGAATGCGGGCCATATTTTACCCTATGATCAGCCAGAAGTTGCACTGGATCTTATCACGCGATTTGTTAAGAACAAGCAATTTTCTTAATATATATTTTTATATGTCTGTAAATTGTTTTTCATATGCTATCATATTTGAACTAAAACCATACTTTCCAAATGAAAGCAATTTATTTGAGAAATTTACTCTAACATAAGTACACTGTTAACTGACACGGACTTGTTCCCCATAGCAATGTTGGATACCCTTCATATTCTTCAACGTCCTGGTTTTTGTATTTCTGTATAGTTATGATTCTAACTTGAGAATTTTAGTTGTCCATACACCTGTGTTCAGAATTACCTTTATTTGCACCAAAAATTTTATTTCTCAGAAGCTGTAAATAAAGTTAAATGAATTGTATTTGAATGCGACTTAGAATTATCAGACAGAAATGTAAACTAAAAAGTCGAATATGATGAACACGAAGCTATATTATTAAAAAATATATTAAAATAAAGTAGTAAATGTTGACGACATTTTAGAAAGTGTATACTTCAGAAAAAGTGCAGACTTTCACGTAAAGAATGAATAAGATATCTCTTAAATTGTAAACTCATACCACAATGGAATTGTCAGCTAGTTAGATTTGAGGGGAATGTTTCCCACACTTTCATCAATCTAGTTAACAGGGCACTGAAATCTTTCGGCACAATTCTTCCGATCGTGTTTTCTATAGGATTCAAACTGAGAGATTTAGTGTAAGATTTAATCTCAGTATATTTATTCAGCTTTAAAAAATTCATCAGCTATTTTCGATTAAAAAAGTGGTTTTATGTTTGATCAAAAGAAATTACAATTTATTTGCACTTATGTAAATAAGTAGATCTCACCTGCACACTTTACCTAATTCATAGAGTTCTGAGAATTTATTGCGAATGCTCTCGTTTGACTAACATTCTTTCTCAAAAACATGTACAAAGAAGTATTTGTATTGTTGATTATACTTCTACGTGTCATCAGATAAGCACCACCGTAATGGTATATTCGTCAGGTTTAAACAAATTTAGCATCAGACGTTCTGACCTTTCCGAATTTTTGCTATAGAGAAACGGGCTGTGATGTTCTCTGGAGAAATTTAGGCGGACTGCCTTCTGCAAGGACAAAAAAATTCAAAACCATTGACTTTCTGCCACAGAGATTTTTCTCATTTCGTTTTCCGTATACAGTTTGTGACAATACAAAATTCCAGTAGCAGGTGGAAGCTCTACGTTCTACCTATTAGTCGAATTCCTATTACAAAAAACATTTCTGAGCAGAAAATGATTTTGAAAAGTAACTGTTTCTCTTCTGCACCATGGAGCCACATTTAAACAACATTTTTAATATCCATATTTAAGCAAATTAAATTATTTACAGAAAGTATCTTTATCCAGTATTTCTTTCTTTTCGTCATCGACAGAACATCTGGTCCACTGGATAAGGTGCTCATTAGGTCTCGTCTACATGTAGAGACATTAGGATTATTTGAAAGCCAGAGAGATGAAAAATATGCAACCGCCTTCGCCGGGAATCGAACCACAGACCTCTGGCCCAGCGTTCTACCGTTACACCACGAAGGCACGCTAGGGAAGTGGAAGAAATACCTTATATATAGACCAAAGAAAATAGAGGTTAGCGCTGTGTGCTTCAGAATTTTACAATGTAAAGTCAGAGGTTCGAAATTAAAGATCGGAACAAAATGAAAAAATACTCGTAGTGACGCAAAGTTGAAACTAATTGAAAATGCTATCTTGAATACTAATAATTTGTTGTTACCTGGAAAGGGGGCATTGACGAATAAAAAAATCGTGTTGTACGTAATGACTCTGTTTGGTACAACATGCATAGAGTTTTAATGCATATTAACAGTCCCTAGAAGGGATCTGTCTTAAAACGTTAGGCCATCTTGCCGTACCCATAATTGTTTGCCTTGTTTTTAAACAACTCATATTCTGTGCCTCAAATATTTTGCCAAATGATACTTGGCACCATACGAATTTATTATTGTTTTAGTTCTCTAAAAGCAGAAATCATATCCTAAGTCGTAAAGATTTGCAGTGGGATCAAAAAGTGTGCCTTAAAGCGCTTGCAGCCTTGCGTAGACGCCATTTCTATTTTGGAAACATACGAATGCAGATAATTGAGGCTACGTGTTGAAAAATAAGTTTTCATAAATTTTAGATTATTATGTATTAGCAGGTATTCACAGAACATCGAGAGGTATCTTTCCTCTTAAACAAATAGCCTTGAGTGCTTTGCCTCTCAATCAAATAAACCAAATCAAACAAACCACATATACATCGCCAAAAATACTATCTCTGAACCTCATTCTTGCGAACCCTCGGAGGAAACCTTAGAAGTTGTCCCGGATACTTTTAATAAACAGGTGCAATTTTATTTTATTTCTTTTTATTTATTGTGGGTATAGTTTTTTTTTTTGGGGGGGGGAGGGTGCGTTGATTAATTATCAACTTTACACTACTTACAGCAGGTGCATGTTTGTGCTGCATCATTACATTTTTCGGGAGAGGGAGAAGCGGAATAACATTTTCGTTTAGAGTTAATCTGTATTACATTTACCATGAAATAAAACAGAAAAAATACATTATTTCCATTATTATAATTCTTATAGAAATATGGCTTTTTCCTCGCTTTTTTTGGTCAGTGGTGCCACCTTACCTTTTTTGGTGTGGTGTGGTGGTGGTGTATTTAATTATGGCAAAGCACACAAGGGCTATCTGCCTAAGAGGAGGGATGCCTTTCGTGGAGGACTTTCTAAGGAAAACTGGCTCGTATACACGTTACACATGGGGAAAACCACGAAAACACCCATGCAGCCAGCCCGTTCGCGGGATTCGAACCTCGGACCGAACTACCAGTGTTCAGCGACTTTACCGCTCGGCCGCTGGTGGGCTTACCTTTTTTGGCTAACAGTGGCTAAAATGATTTTCTTTTTAATTTTTTAAATTTTTAATTTATTAGCCCAAGGGGTGTTAGCCCAGAAGGGCTATTAATTTCAAAACGGCATTTTGCATCGATTCAGTTTTCAAACTGTTGCCACCAAATATTATCACCATGTACTTATATTTAAAGAAACTAAGAAATGAAGAATCTGCATAAATGTATGTATGTTTCTCGCATTGCGATAAAACGACGGTACCTAGACCCATCCAATTTTGAACGACGTAATCTTACTGCGAATATGGGCATTTGGAAGCCCAAATTTGCAATTTCGAATTTATTTTATAATCTATTTAAAATTTTGTAAAACTTTAGCGAATTTTTGATTAACAATGATTTCAAAGCGAACAATGACAACACTGTACGAGGGGAAAATATTTTTATCTCCAGTACGCGAGACTGTGTATCGAAAATTCTAAACATATTTGCTGTTTTTAAATATTTTGTGATGTTGCTGTTGAATTGAATTTTATGTGTTTTAAGCGCAAAAACTATAATATTTAATAAATAAAGGCAACATGCAAAACGTTAAAGAAATGCCTTTTGGGCGCACTATAAAATCTGAAAGCTTTTATAATTTTTTTATTTATTAATTTTTAATTTACTTTATTTTAATTAAAATTAATATTTATTTATTTATTTATTTTTTACTTTTATTTTTAGTCCAAAGGAGCGTTGTCCGTCAGCTACTATAGTTTTCGTTTTGCGATTTTGCGTCGAATCACTATGAATGTCCGTTTCACTTTTCAAACTGTTGCCACAAATATTATCCCTGTGTATTATATTTGAAGAAATTAAATAATGAAGAATTTGAATAAATGTATGTATGTTTCTCGCATTGTGATGAAACAACGGTACCTAGAGCCATCTAATTTTGAATGACGTAATCCTACTACGAATATGGGCATCCGGAAGAACAAATTTGAAATTTGGAGTTTGTTTTATTATCGATTTCATATTTTTTAAAACTTTAACGAATTTTTGATTAACAAACTCAAGGATTTCAAATGGAGCATTGGCAAAGTTGTATAAAAGAAAAAAATAATTTTTATCTCCAGGGAGTGAGACAGTGTACCAGAAATTTAAAAGATATGCTCAATTTAAAGTTATTTTGCGATATTGCTCTTAATCTGAATTTTATGGCTTAAGTGCGAAGAACATAATATTTAATAAATAAAGGTAAGACAGAAAATGTCTAAAAAAACGCCACTTTGAACGTAATTTAAATTCTGAAACTTTTCAGATTTTCTTTTTTGTGTGTCTTTGATTTTTTTATTTGTATTTTTTAATAACATCAGCATGAGGCCAATGAGGAAAAGCGCAAATATGCATTATATCTTTTTTCTTTTTGGAAACCCTTTCCCAATGGGAAATTCTCGGGACAATATTTATTTGCATAGCTTTAATTTTTACTGAATTTTGGATCCTCATTGAGTAAATTTGCTAGGAAATAAAGCAGAGGCAGCCCATTATTTCCAAATATATACTATATAATGACAAAAAATCACGAGTGTTACAATTGCTACGCAGTGAAACTGTAAATGACAGCCGATAAACTATGGAAATGTAATATCAACAAGAGGGGGGAGAGACTTAGGTTTCAGAGTAAGACCTGGGAATTAGTTTTAAAAAATCACTTATATTATTATTTAACAGAGCTTTTATGCAAATAAAGGCAAGAAGCAGAGAGTAAAAATCGATACTGAATACAATTGCTGAACGATGCCCGCTGGAAATCAAGAGGTTTTCATTAAGCTGCTAACATATAAAAGCGCTAGGTTATTGGTATTGTAAATTGGTGACTATCAGCTAACATACAAGTACCTAAATTCAATGAAAAATTTAGATATTCGAAAAAGAGCAATTTTTGTATATCAATGATATTAAGGAGTATTATCTATTTGGCAAAATTCATATATAGATACAATCGTCATGGAAATTACAAATAACAGACCGATCTCCTCCTTTAGCAGCTATCAAAGAATTTTACTCTGCTTTCAATGAAAATAAAAAGATGTGATTTACCTGTTTTTATTTTAGTTTATTTTTTGTCTCTGAATAGTTTAAGAGGTTGTGCATTAAGAAATTCTAAAAAATCGCAAGAAAACAAATTTTTACACTTACAGTAAAATGATTTCCAAATTATTTTGTTGCTATTCACTTTGCTTCGTAAAAGCTCTTAAAGGCAGCTGAAGAAAACATTCATTTGATCTGCTTCACTAACAACTTGAAAAAAAAAAACTTAAGTATTTTAAAATGAATTCTGTGTTTCTTATAGTTTATTTCAATTTATCTCGAGGCTTTAATTGAATAATTTAAAGTGCTGGAATGTAACACAGCGATTCTTAAAATCATGTAAACAAAATTGGCACTTCGTGAAATAGTAACGAATTTTCTTGTTTCTGTTACAAAATGTAAAGAAGTGCTGAAAAAGAATCCATATACGCGTTTTTCATGGAATTTATAATGATATTACTTACTTTTAGAAGACATGTAGAGACATTAGGTATTTTTTTTGAAAG